TCAGGAATCAAGGGTAATGGCTTTCCAAGCCAGAGGCGAGTCTCCACACAATACTGTGCTTTATTCTCCCTCAGACACTACACAATGAAAAGGGTTTCCAGTAGTAACCTGCCAGCCAGTGTGCATCAGCCTACAAGTGTAGGGATTCCCATGTCCTTCCTGCGCTCTGCAGAATGTGCATGTCTGTAAGATATCAGAACATAATGCAAAGATAGTACACCGACTAGAACATTTTATACTCACCAGTCTGAGGCCATTTATAGAAACAATGAAGTCAAAGAAAGGTTCTAGCCCAGCTCTGTGTCCAGGAGAGTTTTCTTGAACCTGTTGAGAGAATGGCAGTCTGGTTAGTCACACGGAAGAGTACGGATTTACCATCACCGTAACCCTGAGCTGTACTATGGGATGCGAGGGCTTTCGGTGCTCTGGCTTGAAGCTAGCAGGTCCAAGGGGGTTTTGGGCCCTGAATGTACTGAGCAAATATGGTGGCTGCAACTATAGATCGCTCCTTCTTGGTTTCCAAGTGCACTAACTGACCACTAACTGACCACCTATCATGCTGATCCTTCGGCTTTACAAGTTACTAACCCAAACAAATCTCCACACCAGGAGTTAGGAGTCTCTTTCTGCAGGATGTTTCCAGGTCAGTGACTAAGAGCATCATGGATGCTGAGAGGGGAAACTAGCATTTCAGTATATCTCAATACAATCATTTTCTTGAAAATACTCCAATCCCAAATCTGCCCATGACAACTATATGATTGGGCAACTATGTGGCAGATGAGGTTTAATGTCGATAAATGCAAAGTTATGCACGTTGGGATAAATAATAAGCAAATGGGTTATACAATTATGGGTATGCCTCTAGGGAAGTCTGAAATGGAGAAAGATTTGGGGGTCATTTGTTGACCATAAACTAAATAATAGATTACAGTGCCAGGTTGCTGTAAGTAAAGCTGGTAGAGTCCTGTATCAAGAAGGGAATGTTTTGCAGGGACAAGTCTATAATTTTGCCACTTTACACATCACTGGTTCGGCCTCACCTGGAGTATGCGGTGCAGTTTTGGGCACCGGTACACAGAAAGGATGTCCTTGAGCTGGAGGGAGTCCAGCGAAGGGCAACTAAACTCATCAAAGGGATGGAGGACCAGAGCTATGAGACACGGTTACTAAATTTAAATATGTTCACGCTGGAACTTAGGAGATTAAGGGGGGACATGATTTTCATGTACAAAATGTTCCATAGTCATAGCGACATTAGCAACAAACTCTTCAAGATTAATTCCGTAACAAAGACTAGAGTACACCACCTAAAACTGGTAGAAAAAAAATTCAAACACAAGGGGCGAAGGGGGTTCTTCTCAGTTCGCGCGGTTAGGGTCTGGAACTCGTTGCCACAAGCAGTGATTTCAGCTAATAGTGTGGAATCGTTCAAGAAGCATTTGGACGATTTCCTGAGAAACGGTAATATACAGGGGTACAAGTACTCCTAAAAACGAGATGACACAGGGGCCCATACACACGCACACACACACACACCACACACACACAATAGGTTGGACTTGATGGACATGTGTCTTTATTCAACCTCAAATACTATGTAACTAGCACAGAAAGTTAGGTGACCCGTTCTCAGTGAAAGGGTGACAAATGCAAGAATCGGACTTCTGACACAGACTACTAATCCATCCTTCAGAATATGTTCCACCATGCAGACCTGATGTTTGACTTCCTCACTCCTCTGCCTTGTCTTTGCATTCATTATTCATTCATTTTACAGTAAAGCCCTAAAAGCGTCTGTGGTTCCCTCGGCATTATTGGCCTTGTCTAGTTTGCTGCTCTGCTACAAGAAAGAAAATGCTGAGTAAATCCAAAGACAAGCAAAGCAGGTCCTAATGGAATCACTCCCAAGCCGACCTGTGACAAAGAAGCTGTCACAGGTCGGCTCTATTGATCAGGAAGTCGGCGAACGCATACCGCCGATCACTGACTTCCCAATCCTCTCTCTGCAGAGAGCGGTGACTGTCAGTCATCACTCCCCACAGGGATTCCCCCCTCCCCTCTCTGATCCTCCAGCGCTGAATGGAGGAATGGAGAGAAGCAGATCCAGCTGTCAATCAGCCAGCAGGGTGGATCTGGACAGTATTGTAGGGATCCATCCCAGGCTGCGGCGCAGCTCGGCGCTCTCAGCATATAGCGAGCAATAGCACTCTATATACTAAGTTTTGGGTAACCAGAGAATGTTAGTATATGTCCTCCTGTGACCCTGAAGAGAACTATGGGGGGGGTGTGGGGGGAAGGTTACCCCATAATTAAAAGGAGAACTATAGGGTCAGTGCTTTTCCCCTTAGTTCTCCTTATGGTAATGGGAGGACACAAACTAGCGTCCTCCCGTTACCCTAAGCTCAGTATACCGCGAGCTACAGCTCACGGTATACTGAGACGCTGCAGCTGAAGCGGATCCCGACAATTATGTATCTGGATCCGCCCAGCTGCGTGAGTGACAGCTGGCTCTGCCTATCTAGAGGCAGAGCCAGCTGTACCCGCCCCTCCCCTGTCCATTCCACCAGTCAGCACTGGCAGATCAGAGCGGGGAGGGGGGAATCCAGCCCCTCCCCTGTCACGGCAGAGAGCCTTGTCAAGGCAGAGAGATAGGCAGAGAGCCGTGACAGGATCGAGAGGTGAGCGAATGCCGGTATGTGTTCGCTCACCTCCCGATCTACTGAGCCGACCTGTGACAGTCTCATTGTCACAGGTCGGCTAGAACGATGAGGTGAGTGAAAAGCACTCGCCTCATAGTTCTCCTTTAAGAGAAATATGCTGATGCTACAAGGCAGCACATTTCCTGGATGTAGCCATCTGAGCATCACTGAAGTACATATAAAGCCAAACATTATGGTGGCTACTTTTGTTCCCCATGGTCCCTGTGTGTGTTGTAAAGTAGCCACCGCTCCAAGCTCACTCCCGTAATGGACTACAATCTCAATACAAATTAGTAAACTAAACATGAGATTGTAGTCCATCACGGGAGTGACAGATGGCTGACAGATCTCCAAATATTTACCCGTCTTCGGAAGTGGGGTCCTCTGGACTCCGAATGGCTGATGCCAGTGCAAAGGTGGCTTCCTAGAATGGGGCTCACTTATAAGGCTGGGCACACACCTTACAACCATCGCAAGACTTTAAAAAACCGTATGATCTGCCTTTGTTGCATAGGCAGATCGTACTTGCGATGATCGCAAGCCACGCCCCCTGAGGGGCGGGCTTCCGATGACCGCAATGCCGAACGGCCCGTGCGGCTGTTATCGTACGGACATGCCACAAACCCGCCGAACATCGTACGATGCTCGGCGGGTTTTCGAACATGTCCGTAAGTTTAAAGTCGTGCGACCTTACAGTAGTAGAGGTCGCACGGCTTCCACACACCTTACGATCATCGTACGATCGCGGGATTTCCCGCGATTATCGTACGATAATCGTAAGGTGTGTGGGGACCCTAAGAGAGCAGATATGGCCTCTCGACTATTAATACCAGGGATCATCCCATTCTAAAAGAAACAGAAATGAGGCCGTTGTGTGTACTTGCCAAAGACCCACACAGAGGAGGTCACGTGATGTCGAGAGGTCACATGACCGAGGCCTCCTCTTTAATCCCCCCCACCCCACAATACAGGCCCCTTCATTCATTTCTGTTGATTGACAGTCCCCAGGGCTGCGGTGCTTTATCATTATTATTTTTGGAAAGCAGTTTTGCAGCGGTGCAACCACCATACCACCACTCATTAGGGCTGCCCATGTGAATGGACTGGCAGCACGGAAACCAGACATCACTTTATTAGCACAGGACATGTGGGGGGCGGGTGTTTTACCAGCTGATGTCATTGTGCACTGGGATGCCATTCTAAATGGATGACACAGGAACGCACCAAGAAACGCATGTTTCAGTAACATGCTGCACAATGTGCATTACCACTAGTGATGTACATGGGGTGGGTGTGAAGTCAGTTTGATGGAGTTTGTCCACACAAAAATGTAAGTGGAGCACCCAGCCTCCAGGCCCAATCAGTTGTGGCAGAGGCATGCCCTGCCCCCTTTATGACATGTAGCTGTGGAGCGGAGAATGGCCCTGCCGCAACTGAATGGGCCAGGAAGAAGGGAAGGGGGGGAGCGCATCAGTCACAGTCTTGCACAGGAGTTTGAACTCCATCAAACTGGGTTCACATCAATCTGCGCTAGGGCTGCAACAACTAAGCGACATAATCGATGATTGAAAAAGCTGTCAACTTTTTCAATCATCGATTGATTGGCTTCCGATTAGTTGGCCCTGTTCAGAGCTCCACACACGCTGCGTGCCAGCACCTCCTCCCCACCTCACGCTCGCCGTTGCCAGACCCGCCTGCCCACATCTACGCACCTCCTCCCCGCCTCACGCTCACCATCCGCCCACATCCACGATCAGCACAGGGACGCGGGGAGATGTAGTAAGGAGGAGCAGGTGTGGGGGGATGACAGCCGCTGATAGACAGGTCCGATCTCAGAAGCAAGTTGCTGGAAGACTGCTCAGGTAAGCCTGCACTTCCCTCCCCCCACATGGTGCTCTATAATGTATTGCTGGGATAGTGGGATTTGAAGTCCTCTATAGCTGATGGTACATTGTGCTGTATATTATACCATCAGCTATAGAGAACTACAAATCCCAGCAATACATTGTAAAATGTATAATGTATTGCTGGGATTTGTTGTACTCCTCCTATAGCTGGTGGTATTCTGCATTGCGATGTATAGACTACAAATCCCAGCAATAATACATTATACAGCGCAATGCAGAATACCACCAGCTATAGGAGGAGTACAACAAATCCCAGCAATAATACATTATACAGTGGTGCAATGCCGAATACCACTAGCTATAGGGGACTACAAATCCCAGCAATAATACATTATACAGTGGTGCAATGCCGAATACCACCAGCTATAGAGGACTACAAATCCCAGCAATAGTACATTATACAGCACAATGCAGAATGCCACCAGCTATGATGTACTATTGCTAGTATTTGTTGTAGTCCTCTATAGCTGGCGGTATTCTGCATTGCGCTGTATAATGTACTATTGCTGGGTTTTGGAGTTCTCTATAGCCGGTGCCATTCATTGCTGTATAATTTTACACTTCATTTCGCCATATTGCACACCACACTTTTTTTTTTGTCTTTTTTACTTCCACCGCTCCAAGCTTGCTCCTGTAATGGACTGCAATCTCAATACAAACTAGAAGTCCCATCACTGGAGCCATTTTAAAAAAAATGTATTTTATCACATCGGGGACACAGATGATATGGAGAGGTGCAGGTATTTCACACAGAAGGGACAGAGATGACAGGGGGATGCAGGAATCTCACACACCAAAGGGGACAAAAATGACACACATACACACCAAAGGTACAGAGATGACACAGGTATCTGACGCATCCAGACAATGAGGTGACAACACACACGGTTATCCATCCCACACACACAGTGATAGGGACACACAAAGGCCTCCCGGCACAGCCACTCCCCGGCCTCCGCACTGCACCACCTACCCGTAAGACATGATATCCCTCCGTGCCTCCTCCAGGGATCTCCACACTCTGCGAGCCCCCCATGTCGCACCCCCCTTAGGCGGTGACACCCTGCTTGGACGCTGCCAGTGACACAACCTCCGACAACAGCGGCAGCTTCTTACGTGGCACACAGGCCAGCCCGAGGAATGCTGGGAGCTCACTGTGCCGCCACACACTCCGCCCACAGCGACATCTGCTGGGTGCTGTGAGTCAGTGCAGGGAGAAGTCCGCACAGCGCCACCTTCTGCCCGGCTGGTGACAGCCTCATAATGTCTTTTTATACATGATTTATATATATATGTTTTTTTTAATGAAACTCCACTATTACATGTGATTTTCTGCACGCCAGGAAGCTAACAGGCCCATTCACACCTATGCGTCCCGCTATTGCACAACACACCTAGTGTACGTTACCATTATCAACCTGAGCTGTGTTCTGTTCCATAGCGAAGTGCTGGGCAGCTGTTCTGCAGCAGCTTCACTGAACACTTCAGCTCCACAGTGCTCAGCAAAATGGCAGAGGATAATATTTTTGACTAATATAATTTTCCAACGAATATTTGGTGTGCTCGTCCAAAAAAACATTAAATTGTAGGTTCCCACACTGAATTGATTTCCTCCATCGGGGTTCAAGCACCTTTTTTCCAGCAATGCCAGGTGTGCCCACAGTTAAAATGGCCGCTGGTGATCTGTCCCCGCCTTCTCCATCACACTCATCGCTCTGCATACACATTCACTTCCGCTGCGAGTGCTAAGTTAGCAGTGCGCAGCGCTGAGTTGCAGCACAGCGTTTAGTGGCGGTTTGCTAACTCAGCACTCGCAGCGGCTGAGCAACTGAACACACCTCTTGTACCATTTGCTGCAATGAAGCACAACTCAGAGTACTCGCGGCACTGCGGTGGAAAAAAGTGGTGCATGCTCTTCTTTTTGCCGCAGCAATGCATGATTTTGCACAATACACCTAGTGTGCATTACAGTGTGGCAGGTGCATTACATTGCCCTTCACTTGAATGTGGTGTGGTGGAAAAAAGCCAAATCGGTGTAAATGGGCCGTTCAGGCCGGTTCACACCACAAAGGTTGCGTTCCAGAGCGCTCAGCCTCTGGAAGCACTATTTTTGCAGATCGCACTGGACCGGAACGCAAGCACTAACGCTCTGGAACGCAGCCTTTGTGGTGTGAATCGGCCCTTAGGGCCCATCCACACCATGCCCGGATCATCTCCAGACCAGACCAGACAAGATTGTTTCCAGACCCAAAATGCATCCTAATGTATCCCTTTGCTATTTCTGGGCTCTGTTCACACCAGCGCAGTCTGTTCCAGACCAGACCAGAAAAATACTACTTGTCTTATTTTGTCTGCTCTGAAATGCACTGGAACGCATAAAAAGGCATTAAAAATGCATACAAACGCACCTGTAAGACCATATTAAGCTAAAAAAAAATCCAAACACGGCAAAATTGCAGCAAAACGCAATGTACTGCGTTCCAGATCTGGTCTGGAAAATGGTGCGAACCTGCCCTCAAAGCCCCATTATTGGTGTCAGTGTGTGAGTAAAATAAACACCGTCACTGGTGTCAGTAGGAGTCAAATTTTGATGAAGCAAACTGTCAATTTCGCTCATCACAATTGCGCAGCACACATATATCAGCAATCCATGCAAATTCTCAGGGGTGTGTTTATAAAACATTCGACAACATTCAAGTTATGGATTCACCGCTCATTGTGGCCACTAGATGGAGACAAGGAGCATAGGAATTTCTTAAGGCCGTGACACACTGCACGCGAAGCCGTGCAGAGCGAAGCAAAACTCACCGGCACGGAGCTTCGCGTGCAGTGTGTGAGCTGAGTGCAGTCAGATGATTGACTGCACCTTCAGCCAATCGGCTCGTCTGTAACAACCGGCCAAAAGTCGCATCCCGTCGCGCCGGTTTATACGCGCGAGCCGATTGGCTGAAGTTGAAATTGTTCATCTCGGCACGCTCAGCTCTGCGAGCTCTCGCAAGCTGAGGTGCCGAGAAGAAAGTGACATGACACACTGCTCGCAAAGGCAGCGCGCCACCGCTCCGCGCTGCTTCGCGTGCAGTGTGTCACGGCCTTTATGCTGCTCAGCTCCATCTCGTGGCCATAATGCGCCTCGAGGCATCCCAGTCTAAAATGTAAAAAATGATGTGGTTGCTCCCAAAATCTATACTAGACCATTATCCCAGATAAAGTTTTAGGGGGGACCGCACAAAAAAAAAATTACATGAAGTCTACCCCTTTCACATCAGAAGTCCCCTTGTTGGAAATGCAACAGCATGTACTGTACAGTTGGGCAAAAAAGTATTTAGTCAGCCACCAATTGTGCAAGTTCTCCCACTTAAAAAGATGAGAGAGGCCTGTAATTGGAATCATATTGATTTGTCTGGATTTGTTTTCTCATTTTGTCTCTCACAGTTTAGGTCTACCTATGATGCCAATTACAGGCCTCTCTCTAAGTGGGAGAACTTGCACAATTGGTGGCTGACTAAATACTTTTTTGCCCCACTGTATATCACTGTATTACATGTATAATTATGTATTCTGAGCTGTAGATTGCGCTGTTGTGCAATGCTAGTCTATGCTAGTTTTCTATATGCATGCATAAATCTATGATATTCAGGAAGTTCTATATATACATGCTGTAAATGCTGTATTCTGATGTAATATCCTCCTAAGCAGTTAAAACCTAATTCACCATTCCTCAAGGTCTCAGTGCTTCATCCAGACACATAACCAACACCCCTTCCCTTCAAAAGCACCCCTTCACATCAGGGTCCCCCGTTTCACATCAGAAGCCCCCCTTCACATCAGCGTCCCCCTTTCACATCAGAAGCCCCACCTTTCCATCAGGAGCATCCCATCAAAGTCTACCTTTCACATTAGAGTCCCCTCTTCACATCAGGAGCCCTCCTTCACAATAGAGTCCCCTGCTTTCACATCAGGAGCCCCCCTTCACACCAGGGTCCCCCCATTTTCACATCAGGAGCCTCCCTTCACATCAGCCCCCTTTGCACATCAGGAGCCCCCCCCCTTCACATCAGAGTCCTCAGTCCCCACATCCATTTAGTCCTCAGGTTTGGACAGAGGTGGAATTCTGTTCTCTTCTGAATGTTGGGGGTAGGGGGGTTCTAGGATGCAGCTTGCCCTGGATATGCATCATGCAAATGGTGCTGGTAGCTGGCTCACTTGCACAAGGGAAATGCATGACACTGTTTAAAAATTTGAAGGCATACCTGAAAAAGCTAGAAGGCACCCATGGGCACCGCAGCACCTGGTTGAGAAAGGCTTACGTAGACATTTGCAAAGTTGTTCGCTGTGCAAATGTTTTATAAATCCACCCCTTCCTGTAGTTACACAAATGTTAACAATGCAATATGGCATACAGATTTGCCAGTATCAGTGTGCTGCGATGTTTATATATGTGAGTTGTGGGAATCTTCCTCTTAAGGTGCCCATGCACCTGCCGATTATCGTACGATAATCGCGGGAAATCCCGCGATCGTACGATAATCGGCAGGTGTATGGAAGACGTGCGACCGTTTCTACTGTACGGTCACACGTCATTTGTCTTACAAGCAGGCTCGAAAACCCGCCGAGAATCGTACGATTGTCGGC